AACAATTGAGGCATTGGAGTAAACTTATTTTAAAAAAACAAAACCAAACCTTCCGCTTCTGTGAAAATTAGCATATTAAGAATGGTCATTAAAATTTTTTTTAAATTTTTAAAATACTTACCTTTTTCCCCTTTACCAAGGTAAAATGCATCATCAGTATTAACTTTCAACAAAACAGACTGGAACCCTGTTCCATCCATTTGGCCACATGTGGGTTCCCAACATTGGTTATTTATTGAGGTAGAAGTGAAGGCACAGTAGTATAGACATGCAGCCAATTCATTCTTCTTGCCACATAAGCAATGTCTCAGGGAGAGGAAAAAAATTAAGGTGCTTAAGGAGCGGGAAAAAAAAAAGAGAGAACTCAATCTGTACAGCTCAGAGAGGTACCACTTGCTTTTTCCCTTCATACAATCAGTTAATCACCCTATAAAATGCTGAAATCATCAGAGCCTGAGCTGAAACAGTGAGTTCAATTTTTTTCTCTCCTTTAAATGTCTCCTTTTCAGTTATATAGTATTTTATGAAAAATTGATGTCTTGGTAGTCAACATGATGAATGTTGGGACATGCAGGGAATAGTTTAAGGAGTTTGTTTTAACAGTCATGCATTTAAATTGTCCCATTATAGTGGACATGTTTCTACTGCCAACAAAAAATCAGTTCTTAAAGATCCAGTTTTCCTACATTTTTTTTTACTGCTTTCAATCATTTTGATAGCAATCCTGATGAATTCATGAATTAAAATTATTTCATCCAAATGTTAGATTTCAAGGTGGCAGTTCAGGGTCTCTTTTTCTTTTACTGCAGGAACTTAACATATAATACTAAAGACATTGAAAGTTTAAAAATATGATATATTCTGTAAGGAAAACCTTTAGGTATCTAGGTGCAGTGGGACATTTGCCTAAAAGCAATTAAGTTATGCAATGTATATCTGTATAAAAACCATTCCTGCAAGTCAATGTACTTTTGTTTAAGGCTAGTTCTTAGGTCAAGGTCCTAGCCTCAGAACCTGTTCCTAATAACTGCATGATAAGAATTTACTGAATCAATGAGCATACAGAAAACATCATGCATTATTTTATTCCATCAGTGGGAGAATAAAGATAAATTATCTTTTTATTTCCCTTTGCCATTCTTTGCCTACTTACCCCTAAATTATGAATTTACATAGCTGGATCTTAACAACCATTAAAGCCAATTTCTATGCTTTACAGATGGAGCATCTGAGGCTTGGACTTTTGAAGGGGCTTACCCATGTCCACACAGCAAGTTAATGGCATAACAGCCAGATGGAAATTCATGCCTTCCGGCTGTAAATCCAATGACACTCATTATGTCAGACTGTCTTTTGGGTTGGGTATGTTGCCATAACATCAGTAAAGGGTACAGGGAGACTCTGGCAACTTATTCAGGTCTTTTGCTTTTTTTCCTTGTGTAGGGAAAAGAGAAGTTCCTAAAAGACCTTTTGGTGTTTGTTTTTCTTTTAAGTTCCTGTATCTTTGGAAGCACTTCAGAGCTGGCAAACATCCCCTTAGTTGCCTGTCGTCAACTTTACCTATTTCATTCACACAAGCATAGTCATTTCTGAGCTTTCAACAAAGCAGTGCTACTGTCAACACAATCAGCCAGAGTCCAAGGTACTATTGTATGAATACATGTAAACATGGCTGAGATTTAGGAAAGCGTCCTTGCCAGCACTCTTCTTAAGGAGTTCTACAATTAGAGCAGGCTAACAAAAGCCTTGAGAGACATGGTGAAGGTTCTGGTAGGTCAGAGGTTGTCATGGAGGGGTTTTAATTTAGGAAATGAAATATCTGATTGACTATTTTGAAAAAGTAACTTTAGTAACTATGGCAGTGGCAAGTTAGCATGAAAGTAAGGCTGGATTCAGGGAAACAATCAGGAGGGAGGAGCTGTAATCCTAGGGGACTTTGCAGGTGATTTGAGGTCAGAGGTCATAGAAATGCAGAAAAGTGAAAGGACTTGAGATGTATTTTAAGGTAGAATAGTCAGGACTTGATAATTGACTGAATCTGATGGAGGGGAGGGTGAGAGATCAGGAGACCCAAAAATGATTCCCAGGTTTCTGGCTTGGGTGACTGGGTGGGTAGATGTACCATACATAAGAATGAGAAGTCTGGAGAAAGGACAGATTTGGAGGGGGATATGTTGAGTTTGAGTACCCTAGGGCACTCAAGTAGAAACGTCCTGTAGACAAAACAGATATACTATGCAGAACTTAGATTTGTGGAAAATTATTCAAACAAGTGTGGGCAATGTGCCCAGTCTGCAGCCCAGAGAATTGTTCCCACTCTAACCTCATATTCTAGTGCCCACCCCGAACCCTCACTCCCCTCCAGCTACACTGGCTTCATTTTGAGTCTCCAAATGCCAGGCACACTCCAGATTGGAGGCCTTGACAATTGCTGTTTTGCTGCTTGGAATGTTCTCCCCAAATCTGCACAGTCAACTTTATTATCTCCTTCAAGGCTTTGCTCAAATTTCTCCTCTCAATGTAGTCTAACCAAGATCACACTGTTTAAAATTGTAATCACAGTCCACCCCTCATCACCAACATATTACTGATCTTTCCTTTTTAGCTCTACTTACTCTTTATTTCATAGTCCTTATCATCTTGTATTAGATCATGTGTTTATGATATTTACTGCTTATTATGTCTCTCCCACCACAGGAAAGCAGGGTCCATATGTGTAAGGATCTTTGTCTATTCACTGGTGTATCCCAAGTGCCCAGAACAGTGCTTGGGACACAGTGAGTGCTCAATAAATATTTGTTGTCTACATTAATGTCTTCTTAGCACATAACTGCCCTATTTTATTGACTTACTGAAGCACTAGAATCTCCATATGGGAGCCCCTATTTCCATCACTTCCTCTACTGCATTAACCCAATGCAACAAATACTTGGAGTAGTGATTCTCAAATTTAGACATACTCACGAATCACCTGAGAATATTTATTTATTTTAGAAATAGATTCTTGTTCTGCCACCCAGGCTGGAGTGCAGTGGCAAAATTACAGCTCACTACAGCCTCATATTTCTGGGCTCAAGCAATCTTCCCGCTTTGGCCTTCTGGGTAGCCAGGATTATAGGCACACATCACCATGCCCAGCTAATTTTTTACACTTTTTGTAGAGACAAGGTCACACTATGTTGTCTAGGCTGGTATTGACCTCCTGGTCTCCAGTGATCCTCCTGTCTTGGCCTCCCAAAGTGCTGGGATTACAGGCTTCTCCTGGGCATCTTTTTAAAATGTAGATTAGGACCAATCAGTGAATGTGAAGCCAGTGATCCTGCATGTTTATCAAACTCCCGCTAATGCCAGTGCTAATATTCTGTGGACCACACATTGATAGCAAGAACTTAAAAGAACATCCAACTACTGGTTAATACCTGCTAAAAGTCACAGACATTTTTCTGCATATTAGAAGATTGTCATTTCTATGAAGAAAAACAAGATAGAACAACATGAATTAGGTAGCAATACATTAAGACAATTAAGTGGCAGAAGCCATGATGGGCACAATTGTCACTTGTGAGAATTGAGGAAAGGGGATGTCAAAATGGAAGTGGGGAGTACTCACCTATGATAATTGGTTGAGAGGCAATTGGTTAAGAAATGTTTAGTTACTATCAAAGAACAAAAGTGATGTATTGAATGTTCATTAAATAATATTTCAAACAAATTCAATAGCTGTTAAACACCAGGCACTTTGTGTATATTATCCTAATCTCCCCTTCAATTCAATCTGTAAAATTTATTATCTCCTTTTGATGAAGGAGAAGAATTAAACAGCTAGGAACTGTTATTGCGTCTGTTGAACAGCAGAGCTCCTTTTCTTTCTTCTACTACAGTATCATGCCTTTCAGAAGTGAATGACTCTGACTGTGGGGTTTTCTGTTCACCAGAAATCCTCCGGTTCCTCCAGCCTCTGAATAATTTGGAGTGAGCCTATCATGGTCTCTAGGAACAATAAACAATTGATGGATTGTTGCTTTATTCTTCACTTCTCATCTTTCCTCAGTTACGCTCTAACTCCCGTTTCATTTGGGGCTCCTATGTTGAGACATAAGCACATAATATCCATCTCTTGGGCACAAGTGATGATAGCATGCTCTGGACTTCCAGGTCTTATGCATAATGCATCATTTTATTTTACCCTCACACCAACCCTATATGATAGGTATTATTTTCATTCTTATTTAAAATACAAGTTATGTCTCAAAAGGTTAAGCAACTTGTTCAAGTACAATCAGTTTAAAAGTACTATAACCAGTACTCAAATCCAGGAAAATGTGACTCCAAAACTCAAACTCTTTTTATACATTGTGAGTTACTTACAGAAACATCTCCCCCATCTAAATACTTATTAATGTGAGAGCCTCCCTCAAATATGGCTAATATTGTATCTAAATTGAAGCATCAGGGAAGACCATGGACCAGGGACTCTCACACAGGCAAAAGCTCATTTACAAAAGTAAAGATCTCACTTGAACTGCAGCACATATGTGTTGAGTATCAACTGGAAAATAAGTCAAAAATAATGTTAATGCACCAATGTACATGGAATGATTAAATCCAAGAAATAAATAATACATCTTAAAACTATTCATAAGGAACTCTTAATTCTTTATTAAACTGAAGTCTATGAAGTCACATGTCATCTGTAAAAGTAAAGCAAAATATTTGCATGTTTGAATCAGTTCTCTGGCTACTATCTGGACTTTTATAGCTTGGCACTGAGCCACAAATTATTCATTGACAATTGCTTTCATGTAACCTTGTAACAGTGATAAAAATCGAGTCCGTGTTCCTCTGATCCAAAAGTTGCTTTGAGTTCTTGAACCAGACAACATTCAAGAGGCATGAAGACCAAGATTGTGATACATTTTATTATAAGGAAAGCATAGTGAGGTCACCAAGAAAGGCCTAGACTTGAAAGAGAAGAGCTGAATCAGGCCAAGAAATGAGGCACTATCTCTTAATACAGCTATCAATATTATTTTATTATTTAAGGTAACAGTTATGAAGTACTTATTTTGTACCAGAAATTGTGCTAACTGCTTTGCATATATCGTCTTGTTTAAACTTCAACACAAACCAACAAGATAGTTACTGTTATCCACACCCAGTTTACAGCTGAGAAACTGAGGCTTAGAAAGGATGAGCAACTCCTTTCAATACCGCTTAGCCAATGAGTGGTGAAACAAGATTTTGGACCCAAAGTCCATGCTTTTAATCACCGTATTTTGTCATTGTATTCTATATTTAATGTACTATTAGTTAATGTCCTATCACAGTTTAGACTGCATCTTTTATTATGAGGATTGTTACCCAAACTGAGATCCTTTTGACAGGAGGAGGAGGCATGATTAGGAATTTTGTTGGGCATTCACAAGGACTGTCCAAGACAAACAGGGATATATGGCAGTCCTATTTAATATCTTTCCAATCTACATCATGACATGATACATACGTAAGCAAAAATTACAAACACCAGTTTGTAATTGTACTTGGGTGTACAAGCTAGATTGTGTACCACAAACACCTGCAGGGTAGCCATTGTGATATATAGTGATGTGTTAATAGACCTCTAGGACACTAGAAGAAAATCTATTTTCCTGGCTTGAAAGGGACCAATCAATTGTATGGGTCCAAAGTGGTGCTTTGGGGCCACAGGGAGCAAGTTTGCACTGTGAAATTTCACAAAGGCAAGAACCTTTATGTCAATGACAAAAGGCTGGTACCTCTTTACAAAACCAGTTCCCAGTGCCCCTGGGCCAGCAGGAAAGCAGTTATACTAAACAGGTGAAAGACAGAGCTGCAGCCTGCGTCCAGGCTGAACTAGGATGTCAGAGCAGGTCTAGAGGCAAAAGATGAGTAGTTGAGACACTGTATCTGTCCATTCTCACACTGCTATAAATAACTGCCTGAGACTGAGAAATTTATAAAGGAAAGAGGTTTACTTGGCTCACAGTTCCACATGGCTGGAGAGGCCTCAGGAAACTTACAATCGTGGAGGCAGGGAAAGCAAACACATTCTTCTTCACGTGACAGCAGGAGAGAGAAGTGCCAAGCAAAAGGGGAAAAGTTTCTTATAAAACCATCAGATCCAATGAGAACTCAGTCACTAGCATGAGAACAGTATGAGGAAACTGCCCCCATTATTCAATTATCTTCACCTGGTTCTGCCCTTGACATATGTGGATTAGAATTCAAGGTGAGATTTGGGTGGGGACACAGAGCCAAACCATATCAGGCATAGAGGTTGGGCAGGAAGAAACAGGGTAAAATGAGGCTGCAGAGCTAAGCAGAGCTATCCTGAATGGTGGTTATGCAGGTTCCCTTCAGATATTGATCTTTTTATGACTTTATTAACTGAAAAAGATGAAATTTTAAAACCTTTGTACTCCAGTATTCTTTGAAATCATCATAAAAGGCATAGCATTTTATCTCTAGGAGTTGAAGATTTTACATTCATTCAAGAAATATTTCTTGAGAGCCCACTAAGTATTCCAGGGAGTCTTCCAGGAGCTGGGGATGAGTGGTGAACACAACAAATTCTCTGACCTCATTACTGAGTGTGTCTGAAGGCTTTTATGGAAATTGACACTTTTTAAGGTATATGAACAATGTTTTTCCAAGACATGAAAATTATATCCCCTCTTTAGCCCTCAGTTCCCTCAAGTGCAAAATAAGGGCACTGACCTGGATAGCTTTCCAGGGCTCTTCCAACTCTAAAATCTGGTGGCCCTGCTGTCACTTTGATCAGGTTAATGTGAAGGACAATGCCTTTCTTTATTCAACTTTTCCATTCTTAATGTTAAAAATATAAATTTATCTCAGCCGGGTGCAGTGGCTCATGCCTGTAATCCCAGCACTTTGGGAGGCCAAGGTGGGTGGATTACCTGAGGTCAGGTGTTCAAGTCCAGCCTGGCCAACATGGCAAAGCCCATCTCTACTAAAAATACAACAACAAAAAAAGCCAGGCGTGGTGGCGTGTCCCTATAGTCCCAGCTACTCAGGAGGCTGAGGCAGGACAATCACTTGAATCTGGGAGGTGGAGGTTGCAGTGAGCAGAGACCACACCATTGCACTCCAGCCTGGCCAAGAAGAGCAAAACTCTGTTTCTCTCTCTCTCTCTCTCTCTCTCTCTCTCTCTCTCTCTCTCTCTCTCTCTCTCCCTCCCCTCACACCCGAGAAGAAAGAGAGAATATCAAAACAGCACAATTCAATATTGTTATACACAGAATACAAATCAAATCAAAAGTTTAAACACACATATCAACTGAGGAGTTAGGCAAGAAGTGTAGTTATGCAGCCAACATGTAACAAACCCGTCCAGTGGCCTCCTCTGAAACCTACACCAGAAAGACTTATTCTTTCTGGAGAGTAGTCTTGGTCAGATAATTTTTCTTTGTGGGCCTTATGTGGACCAACATTTCAGAGAAACCATGCAGTGGCAGGGCACTATGGTTGAAGGTGAAATTGTATTTTCCTTCTTATTATTCTTGTTTCAGAAACACAGAAAAGGACTCTAAAGAGTACTGCTCCTTTCCAGAAGAAGAAGAAAATTTCACTATTTCAGGATCAGGACTGGTAACATTTGGAAAGCTAATATAGGGAAGGGAGAGAGAAAATGAACTTTAATATTCCCATCCTACATGTCAGCACTATGCCATGACTTACATGCATGACCTCTAAGCCTCACAAGAAGTTGACCTAGCCAGCATTATTGTCTTGTTTTAAGATAAAGAAACTAGGGATGGAAGAGGCCAAGTAATTGCACATTATTAAGTAGATGCTATTTGAGTCCAAAGCCACATTCTTTCCAGGCTCTCCTTTTTGGGATACCTTAACATGTTTAATCCAGTTCAGGGACTCCAAATTTGATTTTATATTCACAGTTTTAACCGTTGGGTGTTCACATGTAGCCTGGTAGCACTGTTATATCATCAACAACACATAGAAGTGCTCCTGATCGCTGCATAAATATGCAGCACAATGCCCAATACATACAGATGTTCAAATATGCTATTTTTCTCAAACCAGCATTCCTCAACCTTTCTGTCACCAGGGACCAGTTTCATGAAAGACAATGGAATGGTATGGGGTTCAGGGGCAGAGATGGTTTCGGGCTGAAAGTGTTCAACCTCGCAGATCATCAGGCATTAGATTCTCATAAGAATCATGCAGCCTAGATCCCACACATATGTAGTTCATGATAGGGTTCATGTTCCTATGCTGCCACTGATCTGATAGGAACCAAGTTCAAATGATAATGCTCATGCACCTGCCACTCACCTCCTGCTCTTAGGTGATCCTAACAGGCCACCAATCAGTACTGGTCTGTAGTCCAGGGGTTGCAGATGGCCTTTAATGGTTATAGCCTATGTTTTCCCAACTAGGCTAATTAATATTATTGAAGATTGATTTGTTTTGAGATCAGACAAGCTGCTAAGCCAAATAAATAAGAAAGCAGTTGATTTCACATCAGCATGTTCATGAAGAATGAACAGTCTGTGGATTCAGAAAGTATATATGTACTGAATGTTAATTTGGACACTTAATAGCAACATGACCTTTGGCAAATCACTCCAACTGAGTGTTTTATTCACTGTCAAACAGGTAAATAATATATTGCTGGATATTTTGCTTAACTTTTATGTTCGGGGGTACATGTGAAGGTTTGTTATATAGGTAACCTCATGTCATGGGGGTTTGTTTTACAGATTGTTTAATCACCCAGGTGTTAAGCCTAGTACCCAATAGTTATCCTTTCTGCTCTTCTTCCTCCTCCTACCCTCTACCCTCAAGTACACCCCAGTGTCTACTGTTACCTTCTTTGTGTTTATGAGTTCTCATCATTAAATTCCCTTTTACAAGTGAGAATGTGGTAGTATTTGGTTTTCTCTTCCTGTGTTACTTTGCTAAGGATAATAGCATCCAGCTCCATCCATATTCTCACAGAAAATATGATCTTGTTTTTTCATGGCTGTGTAGTATTCCATGGTGTCTATGTACCACATTTTCTTTTATCCAATCTTTCTTTGAGGGCATTTAGGTTAATTCACATGCCTTTGCTCTTGTGAATGATTGCTACATATTTTTGAAGATTAAATAAAAATATACAAATTAAATATTGAAATGAAAATATACAAAAACCCTAGTAGTGCCTGGCACATAGTAAGTACTCAATATTGTTATTAATTTAAGCTAAGACATACTTCAGTTATAAAATTTTATTGAAAAGGAACAACAGTGATACTTTCAATGCACATACCAAAAGTCTACTTTTGTTTTTCTTTGCTCTACAGCTATATTTTTATGATTAAAATGTGCTAATAAACGTATAATGGGATAAGACCCATTTGATGGCAGACAGAGTCAAACTGATGGCCTCCAGGAGTTCACATAATCTAGCCTCTCCTATCTCTCTGAACTTATTTCACACCAGTGCCCTTTCATTTACTATTCTTGGGCATTTTCAGTATTTTGCCAAATTCTCTGATCCTTGGATCTTTGCATCAGTGTACCCTCTTTCCCAAAATCTTCACAAAGCCGGTGCTTTCTTATTATTTGGGTCTCAGAGCAGATGTTATCTCTCTAGAAAAGCCTCCCTGACTATGCATCTTAGGTCCTGGCCCCACCTCTATCCATTACCATCTACCTTACCAATTTTATTCACAACACTTACCATTATCTGAAATTACTTTATATATGCATTTAGTTTCTTGTTTATCATCTATTTTCACCCAGTAAAATGTTAGATATATGACGTAGACATCTTATTTCTACCTTGGTATCCTCAGAGCCTACAACAGTGTCTGGCACATAACAGGCTTTTAAATTTTTGTTGACTAAATAAACAAATTTTAATTTTGTTTTTCACACTTTCTTGAATTGTTTTAGTCTAGAAGGAAATCTATAAATATTTTTGTTCACTTAATTTGATTTTTTCCACTTTTGAATCCCCCCGTCATTCAATAATTCATCAACATCCTGGAGTAAATTTAAATTTGGATTGATTTCTACATTTAAAATCTTGATTTAGTATTTTTAGTAGAAGAATTCAATGAAAGTAGGAAGCCATTAATTGTGCAACTTCTCAGCATCTGATGCATGCATATGGTGTGGCTTCGCAGGGCTTCTGGGCAGGGCATTAAATTATGTGACAATAACAGAATACCAATAACACACCTGAGGCCGCATCAGACAGGATGATCGGTTTGTGTGTGGTTAGTGCTGTTGCTCCCTCAAGGGAAAGCAGCCTTTAGCTTTGTGAAGGCCAATGTGGATCTCTGACAGAAAGCTGCAGTCAGACACAATCACATTTTAAGAAAAATAAACTCTATGATGATTCTGGCTAACCTCAAACTGTAATGCAGCTGAAAATGAACAGAGGTTGGGTGTTCAATTTCAGGCCCAGAGAGCTTCCGCAGCACTGGCTATTACATGTGTCATATTTCAGTCCCTTTGGTTCACTTCACTTGGCAGGATTTGTTCAAGGAAAGTCTGGAGTGATTTATCCTGCTCACTAATGAGCTCTTCTTCCAGCAGAGTAGTTCCTCCCAAGCTGGGGTCCAAGTCATTAGCTGAAGGATCTGGAGGACTGCTCAGAGCTTAGGAGACTGAATTGGAAGAAGAAATTTGGGTTTCCAAATCAACCAATTGTACAGAGTCACACAGTCACTCTGAATCTCATAAACTTTGATACACCAATTGAAAAAGTATTTCTTAAATTTTAAAAGGTTTATCCATGGTGAGCATGCAAATTTTACTGTCTTATACAGTCTTGGAGATTGGAAAATAGATTTAAAAACCAATCCCACCTCCACAAAAGCATATTCTCAAAGGATAACCACTATTATAAGTTTTCTTGGCATCCCTCTAAAGATTTTCTAGATCTATCTATCTATAGAGAGAGGCAGGGCATTAAATTATTATATATATATTCCATGTATATATATTCCATATATATATATACACACACCTAGGAAAAATATATTTTTTCTATATAAATACATATATTCTATATATTATTTATATACTATATAAATATGTTATATATCATATATATAAATATATACCTTAAAAAAGTAGCCCCTCCTATATTTATTATATATGTATAATATATATAGCCCCTCCTATATTTTACATAGGAGGGGCTATATATATAGTTTCTAGGGGTGTGGGTGTGTGTGTGTGTGTGTGTGTATATATATATATATATATATATGTTCATGCATAGGTAAATAGATTGATGGATAGTGATGGGACCAAGAACAGAATATGAGCATGGCATTCTGCAGTGATGGCCCTAATTCTTCACTCCTTCCTGTAACTTTGCAGTGCTCTCCTGCCATGGGTAGTTGACCTGCTCTATCATTTGACACTGGGCTCAGCCATGTCACTTGCTTTGGCTAATGTGATGTTAGCAGATTTGAAAGAGCAGTGGTTTAAAATAGGGTGTGCATTGGGGCTGCTCTCTCAAACCTCTACCACCATATTAAGAATTTGTCTGGGCCCACCTGCTGGGGCATATGAGATACATGGAGCAGAGCTGAGTGAGCCCAGTCATGCCAGTCCCCACCAGCCTGGATCAGCCAACAGCCCGCCAACAACCTTCACATATATGAGTTAAACAAAGATCAACAAAGACTACTAGCTACTCTCCCCACATTTGACCCCAGATGCTTGGGGAATGAACACATTGTTGTGTGGCCACTGAGGTTGGTAATTATTTGTTGAGCAACATTATCATGACAGTAGGTAACTAATATGTATATCTTAGAGCTTTTTCCATATTGGCATAAAAAGACCTACCTTTTTGTTTTCACTAACTGCAAAATATTCCATTCTGTGTAAGTACTCTAAGTACTCTGATTTAGTTAATTCATCCTCTATTGACAGGCATTTAGGTTGTTTCCAAGTTTTTGCTAGCCAAATAACACTGCCAAGCACATACCCCAGATAGATATCTTTGTAGACTTGGCACATTGATCTAAAGGATTAATATCTAGAGGTAGAGATGCTAGATCAAGAGATTCATATTTCAAATTTTGCTAACTATTGTCATAAAAACTTGCTTCTAAATTGTCTGCGCGGGTCATCATATTTTAAGGATGAGAAAGGCTTTTAGCCTCTTCTAAAAATAATGTGTCTTTTTGAAAGAATGTTACAGGAATTTGATATTAACTTCTAAATTTTATTAACGTTATAATGTTTTTTGTCTTCAAAGTATACAAAATGTTGACTAGTGTCATCACTATTTGTGTTTTGATATACAGAGCCTTTTCTTTCTTTCTTCACTTATTTCTAATACAAGAAGTTATATCCTCAAGGTCAGGCTTCATTAGCTCTGAAGTTCTGGATTGGGAAATTCCCATAAAGGACTGGAAGTGCAGGGGTTCAGTTCTAAGACTTGGTGATAGCCTGAAGCCTCAGGGGAGCTGATGGCAGAACTCAGTAGCCACCAGACTATCTCTCCCTTCATAAGATTCTCATTTCTTTGATGTTAGATAATGAAAAGAATGAAGGCTTTGGGGTTCACCAGAATTTAGTTTGATCAGAGTGTTGCCTTTCATGTACTGTATAGGCTTAGGTATGTTATAGAAATTCATGGGCCTCAGTTTTCTCACCTGTGCAAGAAGATAGCGATATTTATTGTTTTGTGAAATCTAGACTTCTCATATCTGTTACTCCTTGCAAACAAACAAAATCATGAAGCAGCCACTGGGACAACTCACTTCCAGGAATGAGGAAGCACATTTAAGTGAAAAGAGCACCACAAACCTGTATTTAAAGGCTCACAGTGAGTCTTCCTGACTGATCTTCCTGAGTGACTTTGTGTGTGGTCAGTTCATCTCTCTGCATTTCGTTTCCTCCATTATGAATGGGGATATGAAATCAATCTTGCAGGGCTGGAGGGAAGACTGGGGTACTGTGTGTGAAGCACCTAGCACAAGGTTTGACACACAGCGGACTCTCAATAGTGGTACTTAGTACTTTTGTTTGTGTGGTTCTCCTGACCACAAATGAGTGATTGCCATTTTACCTCACTCTCCCCCAGCCCCTACAATATTTAATGCAATTTGGGGAGCATATTCTTTCTCCACATGTTCACATTTCTGGAAATTGTCTGTGACTTAAAATTGATGATATCTGGCTGGGCATGGTGGCTCACACCTGTAATCCCAGCACTTGGGGAGGCCAAGGCGGGTAGATCATCTGAGTTCAGGAGTTTGAGACCAGCCTGCAACATGGTAAAATCTCATCCCTCCTAAAAATACAAAACTTAGTTGGGCATGGTGGCAGGAACCTGTACTCCTAGCTACTCAGGAG